AGTTTATATGCTATACTTGGTGTATATTATATCATCATCATCATGTACATAGCTTAACAGACCTTAACGCTGTCATTATGAGACGGTTTCTTGGTGAATTCGCTTTTTGCACTTTCTGTACCACGAATGGTAAATATTTTATACAGTAAGCTTTCACTTGGAATTATTGACGTCTTTAGGTTTCGCACAAGACGTTATCGACAATAAAGTGGTTGATGTTATGTATATTAAATGAATACATAATCATGTTACAGAAAGGACAACTTAAAGGCGAATGGCTCGGTAAATGGTAATAAATTGTTCCCGGAAAATTGTAACCCGAGTTGGTATTGTGTGCATACAATCACAATAATATTATCAAATGGCAGAGACTTTACAGTTTACACTGTATAGTACAAAAACGACCGCGTTTCCTACAAATTATTTTGGATCAAAGCGCGTTGCATTATAAGGGAGAAGTTGCTGGAATAGGAAACCCTGAAACCTATAAAACGGATTTGTTAATTATTTGCTCGCTCGATAATTACTATCCAATGAAATTCCCAGAGATTTCCCGGTATTGTGTAGCACAATATTGTATAGGTACAGGCGGTGGTGGCATGAAGAGGTAAAGTTGGCGATGGGAATGCTCAAGTTTGTTCACTGGTCCCGGCACTTGGCAATTCGTTAAAAACGATTCTCGAAATTCGTCTCATCAGCAGAGTTAGGCAAATTTCGAACAATAACAAATAATATACAATGGACGATATTAATGCGTTGATCCGCGAAAAACTAGTTAAAAGTTTTTACCTAATTATTATGCAATGATAAAAATTGTAGTAATTTAAATCCTCTCTTTCCAATTACTGTTAAAACGTTTTAATTGACATTGCTATAGAAACAATTGGAATTCGAACCTATCAAATATTATAATTTTTTTAAGAAATATAGTAATTGGCATAACACGTTTTTTTTAAAAATATTATTTTATAGCTACTACAATGTACACAATTTCTATATTATTACACTACCTTTACAGTATTATAATAATTAATTTTTTATAAGGTTGTTGCCGATTGGGACTACTCTCGGCGTGCGGAACCATCTAACTTGTAAATCTCAGTTCTGTTCATTTTTTATATTGTCGCAGTAATTAATCTCTTATATTTTCCTGCAGCGTTGTACAACGGACAATGTTTAAAAAAAAAAATTACCAATTCGAAATAAGCCGGCCGCCTTTCCGGCGCACAATGAAAAAGGGTTGGCAATTATTGTTAACACTGCAGTGTATACCTAAGCGGGCAATTAGCAGGGCGCGGCTCCTCTCTTTGTTTACATTTGATTTTCAACGACCGTGGAGAAAAAAATTGAAGACTGGCAATAAAAATAAAAAATAAATATGTATATTCTCCGGGGACGAACCCGGCCGGAGAAGTTTTTCCCTCGCTTTTGTATGTGTATTGTGTATATATATATATATATATATATATATAACTTTTTATCGATTCGCACTCAAAGACCAAATAAACCCAGTTAGGTAAGCTCTTTCTTCGGTTCGAGTGTGTGTGTGTGTGTGTGTATATGTTAATTCAGTTTGGCAAAGCAGAAAAAAAACACCGTTTGAAGTTTTTAACTCATTTATTGCACGCCAACTTCACGGATGACCTTTCTCGCACTTTTCACTCCGCCGGGACACGTTCTGTTTATTATATATTCTTTCCAGTCCCTATAGTAGGTACATATACACATATATAATATACTCACTTTATTCGACCGTTTTCGAGTTAAGTAGGTTTAACGACGGAATTCAATTTGTGCATATACGTGTTGAACGGTTTTCTGAGAGCATTGAAAAACGGTAGAAAGAAAAAAAAAAGTATTGCCCAAACGTCTTAGGTCTTGACAAGGCATTACCATCGAGTAGGTAAGCATAGCTGATACTTGAAGTTTTTTATTTTAGAATTTCAGCAAAATGTCTGAACGATAGTAATACAATATCAATTATTATAACTGGCGTAGGTATATGCTGTAAAATCGGCTAAAAAACAATTACCGGATGCGTACCTATCTGAATTAATTAAAAACTAAACTGTTGAATAAATAATTTTGTTTGCGGAGATCATTACCAGCCGATGGTCGCGCACAATGTTTATTATTCACCCCTTAAATGAGCAAAACTTGTGCAATATAATAAAACAGCAGGCTCAATAATAGCACAGCGCCACACAACTGGTCTTGAACAAGTTTCGGGCAAAATTTACTCTTAAACTAATTATATACTAGTTCAATAATGTGTATTATTAATAATGTGCCACTATTTTATTCCTTAGCAGCTTATTCATTTTCATATAAATTACCATTCTTCTTATGAAATGTCATAGGTATTGTTATCAACCACTATTCTTATCCTATCAAAAAGGGGAAATCCGCTGATAAGAGATACGATTGTGATAAGAAAGTGTAGGTACCTTAGTACTAATTTTTAGTGGCCGTTCAAGAGAAAAATTGTATGTTTAGTTAGGTTGATCCGCAAAACTATAATACATGTTTCAATAACAAAGTAACAACGGGGTAAAAGAAAAACTGAATACATATTTTATTTTTCAAAACACTTTTTTGTAGTATTTATTGTGATTTTTTTATTTGTAACAGGTACCGTTTACAATGCGGGACTGTTTTTCATTTTTTATTTTTCCACAACAGGACCGTATCCCGGATTAAATACTTATACAACTCGGTGTAATCAATCAAGTTTTAACAATAGTCATAAATATTTTGGCCAACGCCGAGCGCTTTTGCCCTGACTTAACGTCGTGTAAAAATCGGTTTCGAAAAAATGATTTACGCCGCTTTTAAATTTATATTAATTCATCCGTTGGCTTTTTTTAAAAATTTTTATTCGCCGCGGGACGTCTGCGTTTAAAAAACAGTTACTGTTTTTATTTTGTGAGTATAAAACCATATTATAGTTTTTTTTTTCTAACCGTTCACAGTCTGCACAGCTTTTTCACTTCTTAACATTGTTTTACATGAATTGGATGTGACATAATAAATAAATGACCTTTACACAAGTCGACCGAAAGAAATTATTTGGCTTTGAAAAAAAAAAAATTGTATAGCTACAAAAAGGTGTGGCGACGATTTTCACAGTAATTATTATAATCAACACGGTTAAAAATAAACTGTATTAATAAATTAACCATACGAACAATCGTGTTGTAATGTAATTATGATAATAACGGCTTGTCGACGAGACTGATTTTTATTTTATTTTTTAAATTCCCTAAAAAAAAAACCATTTGTTTAAACGCTGACACGCGGGTTTAACATTTTGAAGGGGAAAAGTTTGTCGTTTACCATTTTTCATTCGGACGGAAAATTAAAAAAAAACAAACAAGCAAACAAACGGAATAATAATAATAATTGTTTTCATTGCAATTTAACCGGATAAAACCATTGAAATAATATATATATATATATATTTTTTTTTTATCTTAAAATCACTCATCACACATCAAAACCATTATATCGAGAATTATTATTGTTAAAACTAAAAACACAATTGGCGATTTGCCCGTTTGATAAAAAAAAATAAAACATAACACATTGTACGAAATGACATTTTAATGATTAATATTGTGTCATTGAATTAAACCTTTTTAACTGCGGTGTATGCAATGGAGATTGCTAATTTATTGTCGTCGAAACGGTTATTGGATTTTATAATTTATATATTATTTACAAATCACAGCAGAATTGGTTTTTTTATAAAAAAAAAAAAATGTCTTTGGAGATATGCACTTTTCAGAAGAATTTAGTAGCTCAGTAATAGTAGTTAGTACCAGTACCTATAAGTTATACTGTACAAGTGTTGTTTTATATAGGCAATAATTAAGAAAGAACGAGTATTAATAAATTTTGACCATGTCAATTCATTAACAGATTAATTTGTAAAAGCTTCAAAGTATTATTTTTAACTTATACAATTTTTTCAAAGAGTACCTGAACGCTATTTTAGACCAAATTAAGCTAGACAAAATTTCGACTACTTAGGGGTGGTCCAGTTCCAGTTCTGTAAAGAGATTCGAGTCGTTTGGCTACTTTACTGAAGCTAAATTATGTACAATTTCTTGTAATTAAGTAAATTAAATTTGTAAATTTTTCCATGTTAAAAAACAATTTTTTTTACATAAAAAACCCCGTTTCCTACATAACTTATTAAAATAGCGTCTAAAGGTAAATAAATATTCATTTTTTTTAAAAACTCTTTTAGTTAACCAACTTTTAATTTCATTTTCATTTTTTTTAATCTAAAACTTTTGGGACCGACTTTTGATTGAGCAATTAGAAAATTATATAAATTAAAAAAACTATAAAAAAAGTAAATATTTAAAAGCTTATAATATAAGTTTAAAAACAAAAATAAAAAATCGACCTTTATAACCCATAGAGGAGATATTAAACTTCATAACAATTTTTATTTGATTCGGTAGATATCCTGGAATGTGATAATTTGGATCTTTCCATTCCCCCTTAAGCCTTATCGTAAAACACATTTAATTTTTTTTTCGGAAATAAAACTAATTTTTATAGCCGTTATATATATTTTTTGATAATATTGTTTTTTGTTTGTCATATTATATTTTTAATTTTTCAATCTAAATATTCAGTAGATTATTCATAATTCATAAAGTTCATAATATGTATCACCGTTCATTAAAAAAAAAAAAAGAATAAAAAAATATGTAGTCATTTTTTTTTGGAGGATACCTTAAAATCCAATGACACGATAACATACGCCAATATAATTAATAATTTTTACCATCTACAGTATCGATACGAAGCGTTTATTTGAAAGTGATAAAATCACTCTCAGTTGTAACAATTCCTGAAGATTTGTGACTTATCCGACCACAATATGCTTCATCCTCACTGTGATGGCATTGTAAGTCTATAATTTTAGAACATCGGACATTGAACAATACATAAACTTTACAATATTATTTTATACACAAATAAAAGACATCTTTTATTAAATACAATATTATGTACAGTAATAGCGATTTACAGTTTTTTTTTTCTTTATACTGCATATTATCATGATTGCAATTAAATAACAACAAGATACTTGTACAGGTATGGTGGGCGGTATAATTGATACAAAAGATCATTGCATGCCATTGTTAGTGTTTATAAGATGCGAGGTCTCGACTAATGAACCATCGGTTGACGAAAGGGCTAACTGATAAACTGTGTTGTTGCAAATGAAAAGCAAGCCGGCGCCCAAACGAACAACAACTAATTAAAACCGGAACACACACAGACACACGTTTGGTTAATGAGATCTTGGCAAGGGTTCAAAAGGTGTAACGTGAGGTAGCAAACGGTAAACCAAGTGGGTTTGCTACTCTTTCGAGTCTCATTGGTCAGTAATAAAATCTCGCCGCCTTCGACGATGGTCGTTATTGTTGTAACAATGTGGAATTAATATTATAAAACGAAAAATTAATTTTGTTCACACGGCGCAAATAGGTAACGTGTTACGTAGGTATCGCTACGGAACTTCGGGCTCTTGTATGGGTATGACGCCTACGCCGACACCACCTTCGTGGGCACACATGGAAGCCGAAAACGTCCAACAATCGGTTTTTGGATCGTACACTTCGACAGTGGGCAAATTCAAAAATCCGTCGTAACCACCGATAGCCCAAAGCTTACCGGCGTTGGCCACAAGCGCCACTCGGCTTCTGGTAACGTTCATCGAAGCCACAAACTTCCATCTGGAATGATACAAATACCATTATTACATATTGTCAAAAGTATAATAGATAAACAACAGCGATTATCCAATCACAGACTAATATTATTATTTGTCACTAATCTATTAATTTCTGGGTCGTAATAATACATACTTGTCCGTTTGGGGATCATACTCTTCGACGGTTTGCAAAAATGTCGAACCATCGTATCCGCCACAGGCATAAAGTTTACCGTTCAATGTGGCCACACCTAAACGACAGCGTTTGACCAACATGGGCGTCACCGACGACCACTGTCCCGTGTACGTATCATATCTTTCTACCTGAATATTGTATTGTCGTGTGTTAGTTATTACAACGTTAATGGTGCCAATCGAGTTCTAATATTACCGAGTCAAAAATACTAAGACCATCGTGACCGCCCAGTATATAAATATAACCATCGAATGCGACAACACCTCCGGCACTTCTGTGTTTTAGCATTGGTGTAATTATTGTCCATCGGTCTAAATCAGGTTGGTAACATTCAACAATGTTCAGTGAACTGACACCATCAAACCCTCCACACACATATAATCTATCGTTTAAAGCTGCAGCTCCGAGGGCACTGAAACGTGTAAATTTAAGTATTGTAAAATTAAAGCAATGTCTAAACAAATTATAACACAGGATAAAGGTAATAAATTTACCTCCGTCTCCTATGCATAGGCGATACAATATTCCAAGTTTTTGAAATGGGATCAAACACTTCTACCGAAGACAACCTCTCGATACCGTTGTAGCCTCCGAATGCATAGAGTTTGTTGTGCAATACGGCTACGCCGACTCTGCTACGTAGTATACTCATAGCTTCGGCGATTTCCCATCGCTCAGTCAACGGATTGTACACTTCAACAGTACTTAATGAATCGCCTGAAAGTATTGAAATCATAAAATGTAAGCAATTTTATTTAAACACTAAAGCTGACAGTTTAGACCTTTATCATCATAGAAAATAATAAAACATAATAATAACCATTTAGTTAACACAAACAAAAATTTAATTATAATTTGAGTCTCAAAAAAATTAAAATAGATTTCTTAAGAAATAACTTTTATTAGTAGATACCTTTTAATTTTAATTTTTAATAATATTTAAAAATAATTAATGGTTGTTAGTGTAATTTAATTGTAGACTCATATTCAAATAAAGACAGAATTGACAAATACTTGGGCATAAAATAATAAATATTAACTTTAAAATAGTAAGTTTTTTTTAAAATAAATTATTATTATACTATTAGCTTCGATGCGGTACTTGTTTTAATTTATTATCCATAGTTTTAAATTTTATTTTATTTTAAATTGATTTTTATTAAAATGCTTTTGTTGAAATAATTTTTTTATTTTAAACATCATTTTTATATTGATTGAAAAAAAAATTTGATTAAAAATCGATAGATTCGTCTATCAGATCTATCTGTCATAATAATAATAATAATATATAAATATTATTTGAGTTTTTATTTAATTTTTAATAATTATTTGAATTTTTATTTAAATAGTGCTCAGTTTTGATCAGACAAAAATTACAATTATTTATACATAAAAAAAAAAAAAATACAAACCTGATTTTGTGAGTCCACCAACTGCATAAATTTGTCCTAGAATGTAACTGACACAACGAGGTCTCGTGCGGAAGCTTTGTAGAAGCAGTCGACGTTCAGGCATTAAATGATAATCTTTAGCTTCATCTAGCAAGTCCCTACAAAGTAAAATACATTCTTTAAATCTAACGTAAATTAAGTATATTATATCTTAAATAAATTTGCATTAGGATCCAACCTGCATTCATGCGACGATCTAACTAATTCTTCGGTGGCAACACGATCCGCTAAATAATGAGGAGAAAGCAAAGGCAACCTGACGGCGGCTAATAGTTGAGGAAAACTTTCTTGTCTAGAGTCGTCTTGTTTCACCCATCTCATTGTCGCTTCGAATACCTCAAAGATAGAAGTATAATGTATAATTATCGAAAAAGTACAATAGAAATTATTGTATACATACTTGTTCTTCTGACGCTTGCAGTTCGTCTTTGTTCACTATGTCTATTATTTCAGAAATGCTAAGATTCAGAAAGTCATCCGATAATGTTATATCGGGAAAGTACTGTGCCATATAACGATTGGCATCGGTTACTAGGCTGTATAATCCCAAGGAATCTGCTAACGTTCTAACTTTTAAAACGTTATTTGGATGAAGACTGTAAAAAATTAAAACAACAAAGTCTTTAAAACAAAAATATAAGAATGTGCATTTCTAAAATAATATAAAATATTTAATTATTTAGAAATAAACGGGCATAGCGTTTTGTACCTTTTTTTTAAAATAAAGAGTTTGTTAAGTACAATCTTAAAATTAATTAATCATTTTTTAAGAATTATGGAAAAGTTATAAAAAATTAGATACAGGAAAAAAAAACCAATTAAAAGACAGAGTGGTAGTCTACATTGGCATCAGACATTACACGTCTGTGCCACAGGATAGAATTTTTGAAGATTTTCAACAAACTATTTCAATACGAGCTCTATAACAGGAGATCGTAGTCTAGTAAATGGCATGACCCAACAATTACTAAGGTCCAACAGATCAAACGATCCATGTCGTCTTTTAATTTAATGCTATCATCCACCGAGTTGGTCTGTAAAAATAGCTCCATGTTGTCTGCATAACAAAGTAGTTTACAGTTTGATAAAACATGGCCTACGCCATTTATGAGTAGAGAGACCCGGAGAGGAGACAGTTGACCACCCTGAAGAACAATAGATGAAGCCAAATATAACTTAGATTTAGTACCAAATAATTTAACCCATTGATATCTCACATTGTCATGAGACGTCATCAGATGGATTCTGAAAAGCATTATGAATAAAATTACTAAAAACAAAGTTACACGTTGTAGTAGAACACCCTAGACGAAAGCCGTGTTGCTCTTCAACGATGGCATTGTTGACAAAAGGTTATGCATTTTTCAATATAATAATATACAGTTTTATGTAGGTACCGTTCTTTGATGAATGTAGCACAAGCATTTCGGACCCATTTTAATTGTAGAAACGATGCACCGATTAATAGCGATTGTACATTATTGACATTGATAGATATTCGACTGCTATACGCAAAATTGATTAACGCTTCTAATGCTCTACAAAAATATAAAACACACTTCACATAAGCTGATAATTATATTGTTTAATCATTATAGGTATTAAAGTTCAACCTCATCATCACAAATATTAGATATTTCTATTTAAAAAGTTATACACATTTTAAGTTATAGATTTAATGCTTTAACCACGGAATTTTTTTTGCTCAGAATGTTCATTTTGTTATGGCATTTTATTTTGCGTTAAACTATTAAAAAATGATTGATAAAATATCAAAGCAATTTTCTGAAATAATGTTTGAATGCTATCACAAAAAACAAAAGGCTGATTTAAAAAGCGGCAAAATATTGTTTGGAAAAAGTAAATTTTCTAATACTGATGGTGAAAATGTCTACAAATGTGATTTTGTACATAATAATTTAGGTTGTTGTTTTCATTTAAACTGTTGTGTTAATTTATCGATTACGTTAATAATAGAATAGTTTTGGTAAGAACACGTAATTAACACTTACTCTGGGTCGATCCCATGCATGACTATATCTTTTTGGGTGCTCTCGATCATATCGTGCGTAAACATAGCATTAAAATAGGGAACGACGGCAGCCAACACAATACGATGAGCACTAAACGACATATTATCTACCTAAAATTAAATACAAATATTGTTATTTTAAGTAAGCAACCCCAAGTGTAGCAGTATGGAAAGTATATTATATTATTTTACTTTTAACGTGACATCGCACAATTTGCCCATTCGTCGAATACCTTCTATGGCCGAAAAACTTTGAGAAAAAAGATCCGATTGGTGGTATACAAAATATTCGTTTTCGATGGCTGATGATTTTGGAAATGGAATTTTGATTGAAGAATGTAGTTTTGCTGGATTAAACGGTACTCCGGCACATTGGTCGATAGTCGCTGCCATCGCGTAGTGCATTAACTAGTTATCGTACGCTTGTTGTGTTCAAACAAATATATTTATTTTAACTAATTTAATTTAACTATTTGTCATTACAGAAAATTAAAAGGTAATTCAGTTGAAACATATAATATTATTATGAATTACACTATTCTAATTTCTACTGGAAAAATATTGTTTGTCTAAGTATGTAAATTATAGTAATTTGTAACCATTATCGTTATCACTATTTTAGTACGTTAACCTATAAGGTTTGCTTACAAATTATTGATATCCGCTTTGTTATCAATGTTTATCAGCTGGAAACGCCAACTGTATCACGGGCATGATTGAAATATTATACAAGGCTCTTATGAATATTCTTCATCAAATATTCGATGATACAAAAAATTATGTCAGCGTAATGGGAGCCAAAATCAAGTATATAATATGTACACAGTAAAATATCATAATATAGTAGTAGTAAAATTGATATCCCCGTACGCTGCCATTTTGTTTTTCGAAGATAACAATTCGAGACGATGTGCAATAACCTATATTTTTCAACCGTGATCACAGGTTACATCTCAACCTCACAAGGTCACAGTGGTTACAGCATCTATAGTATTGTTCTCAAATTATTATTACAACGGTCGAAACGGAATATAATATTTTAAATAAGTTCTTTTTGTTTATTTTTTTTAATGGTAGTGTATACTAATATGTCTAATAGAATTTCATATAAGTAAAAAGATCTAGGTAGGTAACATCGTCAGTAATATGAAACCATTTAAATATAACTAGCATAATAGTTTAGCTAATTTAGAAATTTGTCAAATTAATAAACGGTGTTCTGACAATAATAATTATCAGATGTAAAAATATAATTTATAATTGTGGTACATTACAAATTGTATAAACATTGTACACATTTTGAAATAATTCAAACTTCAAAGTACAAAACGTTTGTTTTATACCTACCTACTTTCATACTGAAATAGTTTTACCAAAAAAGTACATCAATGATCGTTTTTGTAGAAGATTATTTTTGTTATAAAAGCCGTTAAAATATTAATAAGTTTTCAATTGAATATCAAAAGTAGATAGTGTTGGATCTATAAATCTATAAAATTATGAAAAATATAAATAATATTAATAACACTAACAAATAAATTGAAACGAATTGCGCTAAATAGTTGTCATAAAAAATAATCAGTGTTGTCAAAATATACTTAAAACCGGTTTCATATTTTTTTTTACTTACCTATACAGAACTAGTGAGAGGTGTTGTTCACATTATTTCTCATTAATACCTACAGGTACTGTTATTGAATAATAATATATTTCGACAATAATTTAAGAAATAAATTGCTTTTAAAATGAACTATATTTTGTGTTCTTGTTGATGTATAATATATAAAAATTATTTCTAGTTCTTCGATGCTTTATTTAAGACTTTTAGAGGAATCAGTCCCAAGCTCCGTTCCTTGTCAACACTGAAAATATAACAATATTTTTTTGCAAAAAAAAACTTAATGCCCAACTTTAAAATAGATATTTATAATAAACCACGGTAGGCAGATGAAAATATACCCTTGTGAGTTTTGATGGTTATATTATATAAGTATGTGTGATATATGCATTTAATGAATGAAAATCCTCCACAAACATAGCGCATGCGTGGACTCAAAGGTCCATAAAGGGTGGGATCGGGTAAATTTAATTTTTGCCACTAACTGTAATATACTGAAGATGTTATCCGGCCAATGCTTGACCTACTTTTGAAAAGTTTCAGCGTTGTTTTGGCTACGAGCAAAAGGGAGGGAAACAATATTATACTTGCAGATTTAGAACAATATAAAACATTGCTTACTATTTTTTTGGATTTTAAAGAAGTGCCCAATTCAATTTAATAATAAAAAAGGTTAAAAAAAAATACTATACAACGTTGGAACTGGGAATTCTTGTAATAATATTGTAATGTTTAACTTAACGTTAGTTTTGGCCTCTTAGATAGTTTTTTTATGTTTAATAATTTATGTGCGGGTGGCCAACATAATCACAAACATCCGCCCATTTCTATATTTTGTTTTAAATAAAAAAGGACATATTGATGGTTTCTATCACTAGACGACAATATAGTACACTTGTAAATAATATATTATTATGGTAGCAGTTATACTTATTTTACACTGTTTGTAAAGTGTTGGTTATAGCTTGGTGATTTATTAATTATTTATATATTTACCGCCCCAAAATGATTGACACCGACAGTATCTGGGAGTACAATAATGTATACCTACGGGTAATTTTTTTGATATTATTGGTGATGAAAAAAGTGTTTAATATCTTCTAAAAAATAAAAAAAAATAATAATGAAGTAGCTTTAACTTAAATTATATACTTTTAAACTAATGGCTTAAAGATTATAATATTTTGTTAGACAATCACAGTGTTTCATAGTAACCACTGAAAGTTACCAAAAGATAGTTTTATTGAAAAAAAACTATAATATGCACAATAGGCACAACCAGCCTGTAGAAATGTATATGTTTTAGAGTTCAAATTAAAATGTAAGTAAATGTGTACGTTTTAGAAGTCTTTTTTAGTATTTTTTGTCAAATTTCACTTGTAAATATTAATACGTATAATATTTATTCAGTGGCTGTGAAAAAAAAAAATACTTCAACTATTTGAAGAACCTCTCCAGTTTGAAGTTTCGTCTAAAGCGTTAATAATAAAGTCAAACGTAGTTTTTATTATTTTTTTTTTGCACTTCACTCTCAAAAGGCGGCAATGGCGAGTGGTTTTTGACTTCCTCAAATTTGTATTTGAATTCTTTTCGGTTTGGGTTTATTCAATGGTTAGCTATAATTGGAGATTAGACCCTTTCTCATTTTTTTTGTTTGTTTTTATATGGCCATGACTTTAATGACGAGAGGTGGGTAGATTAAGTATAACGAGCAGCTCAGTAGCATTACTTGAATGGATGTGTCTACTCGGTGTGAAGGCGCGCCGTCTGGTATGGACAGGGTCGGCCAAAACCAAAGCTTTCGGTGCTTTTATCGATCCCTTGGCGTGTGTCGACACTAGGCCATCGTACACGAAATACTCGAGCCGGATAATTTCCAAGAGGGCACAATAATTACCGTATCTGTAAATAAGATTGTTTTTTTTTTTTTTTTACAAGAGCGGTACAGACGAAACACAAATTTGTCGTCCACTGGTTAATGGTTTTTTTTTGTCGATTAAAACATATTTCTCAAAGCCAAAAAATATAAGTATTCAATCGATAGGTCAAGTGGATATATGACACTGTTAACAAATATACGGGCAAACATATATGAGTGTATGTGTTGGGTCAACTAATTTTTTTAGTGTAAGCAACTGTACAATTTAGTTGGCCTAGCTGTTTATTTATTTGTTGTTATTCCAACTTTGAGTTTGTTTGTGTTCTTATTTTAACTTGTACAATGTTTTTCTGTAATAGGATAAACATTACTACATTTTTTTTAAATACAATTTTATTTACTATATTTTAAATAGCACATTTTGTACATTTTTTTTTTTACAATAAGTATTATTTCTGACAAGATAATAAATAACTTGTCAATTTGTTATTCGACATTAAATAAAACACAAATCATGGTTTGTCCTCCCCCCCCCAAAAAACGCATTAATATTTGACACATTTGTTTACAATGCCCTCACTTAACACTAACTTTCAGACTGACTTGTTGTTAAGCATAAATTGTAAACAGAGGTTCGGATAGGCTTAAAAATTACTTTTTTTTTTAACAAACAATTTTTACCGGAACTTTCCTTTTTTTATGTACCATGTGAAAAAAGCTAAACCAATTAGACAAAAATAATATTTTAATGGTATATACAATATTGTTTTGGTTAAAACAATAAATATAAATTTCAGGCCGAAACGCGTTCTAAACTCCTTATTGAAAATAATTTATTTTTAATGTAACATAATTCATTTACGCAATTCGGTATATGGAAAGTCACTACTTTGGATTTTTGTAATTTGTGATTAGTATTAATTATTTTTTGCCCTTTCTAAGAGTTAACGGATTTTTAAATTGCATGTAGTTCAATTGTGGTTTGATGAATTCGTCGCTTTTGATTTATGTAATTTTTCACAAGTAATCGAATGCTAGTATAATAAACTTTTTAGTTATATAAATACATAAACAGTTTCTTTTTTTTTTTTGGGGGGGGGGAGTTTGCCCATCACCCGTGATTTTAACCACATCGAAAGGGATAATAAAGTCGACGGATCTCCAGTCGTGGAATGGCGGTAACAAACAATCTGAGGTTGGCCATATCATTTGTTATTATGGCAAAAAGCCGTTTGGCGCCGGTGCGGTGTGCTGGGTATTTTGCGCTCTGGCTGTTGGCAGCACTGCGTCAACCCCATCGGGGGTGGCCGTCCGAGCGGGTAGTCCGTCAAGTAACGTCGACGAGACGGTCCGTTGTTGTATTTGGCATGGCGTCACCGTACGAGGTGCCCCGTGAGACCAGAGGTCCCGCGCTGGCCGCGGCCGGCGTGAGGCCGCGCGTGGACCCCGAAGCCCTTGGCGAAGTGGACCCTACACATTATCCGGATGCCAAGGAGTCGACGAACAAAATCCGCGGAAAGTCCGACCTGATCGAGCTGATATTCGGCGAGGTCGACCAGGAACTGCTCACGGTCAAGACGTTCTACTTCTTCTTCTACTCCGCTTTCGGCTCGCTGTTCCCTCTGATGGGCGTCTACTTCAAGCAGATGGGCATGAACCCCAGCCAGTGCGGGCTGCTGATCGGCTCCAGGCCGTTTGTCGAGTTCCTGGCGGCGCCATTTTGGGGAGGCCTGGCTGATAGGTGAGCCCTATCGATTTTTTATACCCGTCCCTTACCCTCCCCTTCGGCGGGCCCGCTCGTCGCCGTCGCCGTGCCGCTCGCCGCAAGTCGACACCCTTCCTCCCCTCGAAGTCGGCTTACTTAGAGCCGCCGGCACGTTCGTTGTTGTCTCGAATAAAAAAAAAAATCTCAAGCTTTGGCCCACATTTTCTAATTGTTATCAATGTAAAAAGAAAAAATACCTTCTCGGCTTCGCATCGAAGCGTAAATTGCTTAATTTCCACTTAGAAACCATTTCAATAGTGCACTAGCATAACTTAGGTAAAATTTATTTTGTGAGGGGAAGGGGCCGGAGAAAGGTCACATGATAATTTTCCTTTCGAATAAGCTCAACAAAAACCACAAGTATTAATTAACAATAGCCCTAACACCGACCACTTTTATCAATGATGATAATAAATATGGCATGCAATTAACTGTGAAAACTATTTAGGAAAACTAAATAATTTCGAGGAGGCCACGTACATTTTAGTGGCGTCTACCACCATATTCGCGGTACATAGGTATACGGGAGTTATATGTTTTTAAATCAGGCCACCGTATCCCTTAAAGGAATACATTCTATAAGTAGGCAGCTTAATCGTTCAATGGTTAAAACTCTTAGATTTTTACGCAACAAGTATTCAAACCATTAAAGCAGGGAATTGTTTATGGAGATCGAATTTCCAGCTCCAAGGCCGCTAAATGTAGGTTAACCAGCCATGTTAGAAGGCTTCCCAAATGGAATCATATCCGGCGCCTATTTATTGTTTATTCCTTAGGTCGTTTTTCTGTGTAGAAGTATACTTTTTTTTTTGTTCATAAGTATTACGAATAGTTCCTTATTATAATAAGGAACTATTCTTGTTGGATCGAGCATAAAGTGTCTCGTGGTTGACCCAGTGATCAATAAAATAACTCACATTACTGCGGTGTTAATAAAAATAATACATTCTCAAAAAAAAAAAAATAGCTCTTTACTAAGATTAAATCCAGAACTTTAATTCCCAGACCGTCCAAAGCAGACCACCTCGCAAAACCAAAGTTAATGTAGTTTATGCCGTTAAAGCGATAGCCTATAAAAACTGTCTCTACTACTGCAATATTTAACGGTATACAGACAGAATGCGCAATGGCAACAAAACACATAACGCATTTAAACGACACGGATTTGTGTTTTATTACGCTATTATTAGGAGCCATAATCGTCTCTGGGTTTTGTACCGCTTTCGGACTGGATAGAACTATTCCATTTAGTATAAATTGTGTACTTAAATGTATAAGCGACTTAAAAAAATATATATATATCATGCTCGCGAGTATAAGGGATTTGTATTGATAAAACAAATTCTGGACAGAGTATTCGGATTATATAAAACATTTTTTAAATTAATACTTCTTACTTTTTAAATAATATACGTAATGGTGAACAAAATCGTGCAAAATATGTAAACTGAATTGTTTAATAAAAATAACACAACATTTCAGTTTGATGATCAAAGATGTATCTTAAAAATTGATTTGAAAATTTTTCAATCATAATGTTCGTAACACATCAATATGTTTTACGAAAGTAAATAAACAATATTAGTTAACAATCATATTGCTTATTTTTTTTTTGAAAAATGTTTGTTTTAATTCATTTAAGTACGAAAATGTACTTTGGTCAACAATTGGTATGCTAGTTTTTTTTATCAGAATTACTAAATCGACTTCAACATTTTACAGTATGAAATGTCTGAACTAAAAATTAATATTCAAATTTTTTTCGGAACGGTGCGGCACAGTCACTAGCCTTAGTATACAGTGAAAATTTGAAGTCGATTCTTTCTGACCCGGAAGTATGTTGGCTCGTGTCTCACGGTGATCATATTGTTATTTTCTTGTAGATGGCGCAAAGGGAAACTGTTACTGTTGGCTTCTTTATCGTGTTGGATCATTTTTACACTGCCATTGAACTTTACGGATCCACCGCCCACGAAGTGCTTAGTGAAAATCAATCAAACGACTTACATGCTAGAAACGCCAAACAGGGAGCAGAGACTTTACAAACGAGACGTGTCCAGCGTGGAATTCGGTAACGCCGTCGTCGACATATTTTACAACGATACAGAAGTGGCAGATCTGACGATGCCCGTGATTCACCGGACCAGACGAGGTGCCAGGCCCAGGAACACGGCAGGTCGGTCTCCGGTGGGCGTGCAATTTGCTCAGAACTACAACCAAAAGGAGCATTACAACTTGGTCTATCCAACGCACAGTCACAACGTGTACAAGATCGAGGTCAGTGCGAAAATGCATAGTTGATAGAATCACAAAAACATCACTTCCGTAACGGCACCGGGAATCTCAATTATACCCTTGACATATCTCAATGACGCCTTTTTTCAGAATCTGCTAGATTCAGGCCTCTTCATTTGGAAATTCCAATCAGATTCTCTATATTGTAGGGTCAGAACTTCCTGTACGGTTCTTAAGAGCAACGCGAGGATTCCTGAATAAAATACCTAAACGGGAATCCTTGTGGATCCAGCAGGATTCCTATACGGGTAACGAGAGTGCCATTTGGGAAACTTATTAGATAATCCTATAAAACTCCTGACTTTATTAGGAACGGTTTTATCACGTTCGATAGTAAACCCTGTCAATAAAACACCGCATCGAAGCTAAAATTGGTTTGTAACCAAAGACTTAAAATAAATACATCAAATGCAGCCAATAAAATTAGAAGGATACCCCTGGGTGTATATTTTTTTGCTCTTAAACAGCCTGTTCCGGTACTTTTTTGTTGCTCGTTTGGCCATCAACAATAGCACATGTTTGACCTTCAGTATATAAATTGTTTAATAACAACAGTATTGAAGACCCGGGGTGAAAATTAGGACCATTCTAAAAATACGGTTTTATACTTCTCACTGTACACTACTAAACAAGTTGATTTTTTCCTTAAGAATTTCAAGCGTTTCGTTTGTTTATAGGACATTGAGAAATCGGTCTTCCTGATTCTGCTTCTAGTCATGATTGGCGAGTTCTTTAGTGCTCCCGCCATCACATTAGCCGACTCGGCGGTCATCACACTATTAGGCGCGGACGCTGACAAATATGGCCATCAGAGAATGTTTGGTTCGCTGGGTTGGGGATTGTCTATGTTCTTCGTGGGAATAGCGCTGGATCATTCGACAGCTTTCCCGAATCATCCGTGCGGCGGGCCTCAAGACAGAGAAAAAAATTACACAATTTGCTTTGCCACATTCTCAGTACTTATGGGCGCCGCCTTGATCACGGCCACCCAAATGAATTTCCGTCACGAAGACGCCGAAGAAGAAGAACAGACTGTAATGATGACTGAAAAAACGAATGCACAACCGACTAAAGACGATTACCTACAACAAGAGTTGGCACAACAGCTCAACTTACCGTCGTTGGCACCGAACGCTGCTGGATTACCTCCTAGACCGCAAACATGTCCTGAAATCGAAGAACCTAGCTTAAAGGTAAATGAAATCGAGATTATGTTTTACATGTACCATTTAAAGCAGTTTAGTGTCTAATATATGATTAAATGTATGATTTTAGAGGATGAATCAAATCAAAGTATAAAAAAAAAAATTATAAAGTAAACCATAAAGCATGCGATAATGACGACTTTATTTATTTATCTATTATCTATTATTATAATGAGCTACAAACTTCTTTTTTCTTATATTATTCACCTTATGATTTCACAAGTCTTGAAACTTAAATGCAAAGAACACGTATTCTTGAAGTGTGTTTTGTTACGAAAGAAATTATCTAAGAACATTTTTATCTGTCATTTTATTATCTGTTTTCAGACAAAGATTTTTGCACAGACTACAAAGAAAATTCCTGAATGGATAACTGTTCTGAAGTATTTTGCCAATCTAAAGTGCGGATCGTTTTTGTTTGTATCTTGGTTCATGGGTTTTGGTATTGGATTAATATTTACATTTTTGTTCTGGCATTTGCAAGTGAGTAAAAATAACCGCTTTAACTAAACAATTGGACTCATGTTAAATTGCTTACAATATTATTAATCTGTTTAGGATTATGGTGGATCGCCGACGCTTTTTGGTGTGGCATCAGTTATCAATCACATTTCTGAAATTTTTGCTTATTTCTTTAGCTTTAAGCTAATCCGTCAAATGGGACACGTCAAGGTATAATAATGCTCCCACTACTAGTATAATAACTTACAATATGCTTATGTATGCATTGCGTTTGCAGGTGCTGTGTTTGGGATTGGCTGGCAACATACTCCGGTTTTTGTATATCTCTTGGCTCAAAAACCCTTGGTGGGTGCTACCGTTCGAGTTCATGCAAGGTAATGAACGAATTTGAACAAACTCTTATCGTTTGAGTGGCATCCTCGATTAAATTTTAATCTGCAGCTGTGTGAGACTTTTTTTAAAATTAAATACTCATATTCCCTAGGTATAACGCATGCGGCAGTTTGGGCTGCTTGCTGTTCCTATATTGCACACAACACACCTCAACAGTTACGGAGCTCGGCGCAGGGGGTTCTACAAGGTATCCATCACGGTTTAGGCAGAGGATGTGGTGCTGTTATCGGTGGAATGTTCGTCTCGCAGTTCGGTGAGTACAAAATATGGTCGTCAAAGACAATGCTAACTTAACCGGTCGCACGTTTCCAGGTACCACAACGACTTTCAGAGGTTACGGATTCGTATGCGCGATAGTTTTGGCGGCGTTTATCTTTATCAATTTCTACAGGAAAGACACTGGATTCGTATCGGAATTACCTGTTGCCGAAGATCCACATCAGGTGAGTCATGTTTAAAAAAAGGATGTACTAGAATCTTCAGAATAAGTACTTTTCTGACCTTCGATAATCAATTCTGGAACATAGTTGAACTGCGCGGTATCGGCGTAAGATCTAATTGATTCCATGCAGGTTGTTAAGATGAATAGCGCAAAGGTGTCGCATTACAATGTAATTAAGCATTGTTGACCTACATTTTGATTTATGAAACGATATTACACGGTATTTACACACAAGTTGAAATAATTGATTAGAAAGGACATTTCTTGTTCTGAATTGTTGAATCAGTTTTGTATCACAGTGTGATTGTTAAGTTTTACACTGAATCGCGATCTAAGATCAGGCCCAATGACTTATTATTAAAATTTTATGATTTATTTTTGTCATTTTAACTTATAGTTTATAGTCGACGGATGAGTGTGTCAAATATATCAAATGTAAAGAAGAATAGGGACAAGGTCGAATTATGAGAATAGGTTTTGCTGAACATTCAATTTTTGAATGGTTTTATGCTTATACGGTCTAATATCATTGGGGAAATAATCGATGTCCCAATGTTTTGAGTAACTTTTAAAGCAGTCGTCTAGGAAACTATTTGAATATTTTTTTATTACAATTATTTTCTTACAACAACACACTGCCGTACGTGCATTTGATTGATTCACAATCGCTGTCAATTCAACCAGTCAGTTGTGATAGACAAAGTCACGATTTTAATTTCATTTATTAATGGTATAATATTTACATTAAGTTCTAATCAAGTATATATTTTTTTTATATACAAACCAAATGTCGTTTATCAAACATTTATCTATTATTCAAGCAATATTATTAAAGGCACGTCCATATGTGGTCGGGACGGGAACTGGTTAGTGGGAAGAATCGGATCACTTGAATCCTATTCGTGGCCATTGCAAATATTAATACAATACTGTAATCGATTTTGTTCGTCTTACTAGGTGGCTGAAGAAACAGCACATTTAGCACCTCATGGCGTTCCTAGCAATCCTATACCTAGGGGTCTGTCCAGCAACAAACTACAAGATCTGGCAACAGAGAACCACGGATATGGCGCTACCCATTCGTACGCTGGTGGAAATTTGAACATACCACAAGGTAAATTTAAAACCACAACGTTTTCGAAATATTATGTAGAACCTGAAATTTAATACTTACAAACTATTTTTTGGCGATTTTTCAGGCCCGTCGAATCCGTTCCGACAAAACAACGCTTACCAACAATCCGGTGGTAACTCCGGCAAAGCCTACACGAGCGAGTGTATCCAAAAACAATATACGGTAATATATTGAACTTAAAAAATTATTTATTTTAATCATTTTTTCTGGTTAAGTACGATTTGGTTGAAATCTTCTGTTTTCCAAACACAATCTTTACTTTCATTTACTTGCTCCTTCATATAAGCAATCCTGAAATTAGGTGTACAACTTTCTTGAATTATTTTTCTTTAATATCCGCCAGAAAACCATCATACGGTCATTTCAAATATATGAATACCAAGTACAGATTGCTTTTTACTCCGTAAATGATCTCATACAAAATATTGGCGCCATCGACTACTTTCCTGGCATTAAACCATAATTATTTCTCATATCATCGAAATTAGGTAATTGAATTACTAGTAACTACACATTACTTTATTCTTTATTATAATGTTGGATTAAAAATAAATAATTTCCAATGAAATATTTAAAAAAACGTCCGATTCTTTTCTTTTAAAATTATAAGGGCATCTTAAAAGTTGATATATTTTCGTTTCGATGCTTTTTAAACACTAAAATAGTAAAAAAAAGTTTCAATTTTTTTCATGGGGTATTTTTAAAAATTGATACTACTATTCACTTGACTACTTCACCTATAAATAAATAGGTGTGATTTTTTATCGTGATCCAGTTAATATCTCAATTGGATTAATTAATAATTTGTTTTTTTCCTTGGTGATTTTATATATTGTGATCTCAATTTTTCACAATTTTTTTGGTTTTTACCAAATACATTTTTTTGATGGCAACTTTAAAATTTTAAATGTTCAACGTGTAATGGTTTTCAGAAGCATTCAAAGGCACCCGAGCTTATAAGTCCCGGACCGATGAATAGAAACACGCCTCTGCATTAATGGTAATGCGAATGGACAGTTTTGAACACAAGTGACGACTTTTTTCCAATTTGTTTTTATGTGACTCAGTGTTGATATTGTGTTGAATAAAAATGAAACATTTTTGTCTTATTAACGTTATGGAAACGACAACCGACGCGACGCACTGTTGCGACGGTGTCGATTTTTTTCCAATTATTGTAGTAAATCATATTTATTCAACCGATAATAATAAATTATACTACTTGGTACACAGTTAATGCAAACAATATTAATTGTTATCTAATAATTAATGATATACTTTAATTTATAAAAAAATTTATGTATAGCAATAATAACAATACAAATGCGTTATTCAGCCAGGAGATTGTTTCTACCTATATATTATGACCGTTACAGCTTATGCCGGTTTTCTAATTTCCCCCCCTCTTGAATAGAACACATTTTATTAATGCATGTATAGCATGTATTCACTTGACTCGATTTAGAATATTATAATATTAAATACAAATAATATTTAATTTATTATTGGTGTCTAACGGTCAAAAAGATGTCATCGCGGTAGGTTATTGCTTTTGTGATACGTTTTGATTTTCATTTGAGTTGCGTTTATATAAAAAAAAAAAAAAAAATTTAATGGGACATTGTTTATATTAATATTATTATTATTATTTGCACGAATTTAATTAAATCATATCATATTATGAAACACGCACGTTTTACTTCGAATATTATAAAAGTAATAAAAAACAAAAATTGTTCATACATTATTGGCTTTACCTTCTAAGATAATATGATAAGGACAATTGAACATTTTCCATTAAAATAGTATGACATCGGACACTATTATAATAGTGTTAATAATTGTGTTGAACACGTTATTTGTATTTAAATAAATAATCCGTTAATATGTTTATATTAATGACACAACTCTAAATCAATACCGTTTGATGAATTACTTTTTACCATCAAATAAATGTTGTGTTTGTCATTATTAACGTTTATTATTAATCAATAGTTTTTTTTATAGTTACTCATATGTTACTATCATAAGCCACTGTAATTTATATAATATTATTTGTACAATTTGTGTTGTTGAGTTATTTTGTTTTCGGTTCTTTTTTCGATATAGTTTTGAAATTATTATTTTTTAATAAAAATCGAGATACATTAAAAAACACATTTTACAATTAAAAAATGCATGCCTTAATAATATAATATAATTTATTTATTATGTTTATATAATACTATATACCTACTTATAAATAATGTCTAACTTAGCGTAACGATTATTTTGTAATCATTATTATAAATCGTTGTCATATTTTAAAATTACTATTTGCAAGTATTTCTAAGGATTAAGTTTTTATTTGTAAATAAAAAAAACTGATAACTTATGTATAGTGACCTAACACTACTGTTATCTAAAAACTGTTTTCTTGATAATAACTACTTAACATATTTTTAATTCGGGCAATATTTCTAGAATTTGCTGTTCTTTAATTATTTGTAAAAAAAAAGTTACATAAAATAAACAAAATTATGACATATTATCTTTCGTTTAGTTATTATTTATCTGCTTTATTTAAGTTGCCTCGTTTAACAACACTTTTTATTCCATAAAAAAGAAGCTGACAAGTTCAATATATTTTCATCTTGCTAAACGGACAACTAAAAAAGGTTTTATTTCATCAGTCTCGTTTGTAGGTTAAGTTATTGAAAAGATACTCCAAAATTTTATTTAATTCCTTCTTACTGTTATATAATATGCAAGTCCTATTTCTTAACCATATTGGTAAATGTTGTGAATTTTAGTTTCACACCACTTAATATTATTTTAACGCTTGTCTTCATACAAAATACAATATAAGCGCAGAAGTTCCCTCTGGCTTTTCTCCTCAATTCTGAAAGGAAAGAGAGGCTTCATATTTTTCGGATGCCTATTTGACTTGAGGTCCAAAAATCAGCATTATCCTAAATAAATTCAGCAGCAGTTGACGATAGCAAGAAATTGTGCCAATTTTTGTATTTGTATGATACAACTTTCCAACAAGTTCTTTTGCAATTACATAATAATAAAATTAAAACAAATATTTTTCATGTACATTGAGCCAATATATATATATATATTTAAAAGTCATAAACGGAAATATAATTAATGTAAGTCTTTTTAAAATAATTTAAAAAAAACAATATTTGGTTTGTATAAGAATATTTGTTTTGGAAACGTACCTGATGTGTTCGTTTTTAGTCAAAAGAGTTTTATTGGGGCCATATGATTTGTATATGGCTAAGCCATTATTGGATAATTATCGATAAAACATATTGAAAATAGGAAATAACGATATTATAATATTGTTAAATCAAAGGTTCAAAGTATAGACATACTCCAAATGAGTTCACAAGTGTTAAATAAGTCTTACAAGTATGATGTGCTCGATAACTGAATGGACAACACGGTTAAAAACAAGTAATAAAAGTCAAGTTCTTTTTTTTAATGTAAAACAAAATAATTAATGACTTCCAGCGAATGTATTTTTGTTTCAGTTAGATAGAAGTCAAATAATTTTTCGCATAGTGAAAATCTCTTCTTCGCTACAGCAAGCAAAATCCCTATGGAAATATTGTGCCCAAGACAGCAAAAGTTTTTTTTTTTTATATCAACATTTCGTTAACGTTATTAAATATTATGGACCGTCGATAGAGGAAAAACATTGGGTCGTCGACGTTTTTTGCTGCTCGCTTTTCTTGTCAACAGGAAGTTATAATACACTCTCATTCTTTTTATCTCTGTTTATGAAAAACAAATAAAAAAATATCAAAAAAAAAAACCGCCTATATCTGACCGTCGTTATCCTTTTGATAGGATAGCCACACACAATATGCGGTTTAGAACGTGGATTTGTTTTATATGTTTTACAGTGCTATGTGCACATTGGCGTTATTGTAAAAATGTGGTTTCAATATCTAACAGAATACCGTAATTTCCTTGAAGTGTCGAAGCTGTTAAGGTCGACTTTAACTTCTTTTCAAATTGTATAGTAGTTGTGTATTACATTAATTTAATAAGAAAACTAAAAAACGTGTAAGTATAAAGTTATAGATTGATGACTATATAAAAAAAAAAATTAATAATAATAATAAGGATAAATACTTGATTGAAAATGTATTTTAAAATACAATAGGTACTTACGCATAATATATCTGAAATTAAATATAATTTGTACTATTCTTATAATTTGTATTATTTTCAATAATTATGCATTTAAAACTGCACGTCCTGTCTAATGACATTTACAGAAGTTTTCAGTCATGTCTAGATTTGCTCATTTCAATCTTCAACTTTAATCCAGGTCACCAAAGTGACTATGCGCTCTTACAAAGAAAATGTGTACGGGTTAAAACTTAGTCTAAATCGTGTAAGACCCTACAAAGTACTTGCTTTATTCCCATATTGTTTTCTAATCCTTTAGTTCAACACCACATGTGTTGCAACTTTTGAATCCTGTGTAAAACGTTTTAAGCGTGTTGCTGTGTCTCAATTTAGAAGATTGCATACATTTAATGTAGCATGGCTCTGACTAGTTCTCTTAACTTTTAAAATATTGTTTTTATTTATCTTAATAAATTATTATACGGGACGAGTAATTTATTAAGATTTATTCATATATTTTTGTCTAATTTTTTTTTTGTTATACTCTTGTAAAGTCTTAACCGAATACTTGATGCATATTAATTCGATATTTGATGACATTAATTATATCTAAATTATATTACATTTTTTCTTGAAGACTATTTACTATTAAGTATAACATTTAATGTAAAAACACGAATTATATTTGTTTTTACTCCTTGGAAATTCGAAACTGAATTTTAAATCCAACCTAGTGCTCGTTATGATATAAATAATTTATCAACGCTATTTGATTTCGCACCGTTAACTAAAATTCAGTATATTCATTTGCTATGCTATGCGTCGTGAATAAAATGGTACTTTGTAGGTAGTAAATTTTACATAGTTTGGCCAATATACGCTGTTATATAATAGCAACAGAAACATGAGTGCAATATCGATGAGTTTTTATTTGTATTCGACCACACAAACCTTAACGTTAAACATTTTCAATGGGTATGTATTTAGGTATATTTAAACCTTAACAGTTTTATTTTTTCAGCAACCACAATCCAGAATAGATAGTATTATATTTTTAAGGGATTAACTGAATTTGAAATTACTGCGGAACAGTATAATTGGCCTCAAGTCATAGATCTATACAGGATTTATATATGTACACCCTACACATGTATCGATCTCACTTTCTGACAATTTTGGCGAATGAGCTTTTAAGTTTTTATTTTTCAAAATACAAACTGGCATTGCCTCTTTTAGTCCCAAATAAGTGTTGATAGTAAGAGTTTTGAGTATTCCATTAAAGTTGCACCTTATTGATGTGTAGTATAATATAGTTTGTGGCTGAACACAAATAAATTTCAATGTCAGATTTTTTCACAGTCTGGTTGTCAACGACACAAACCACCAAAGTGCTCGGTATCAATTATTATTATTATGTACCTAACACGGTGTACATTATATTATTAAATAACGTCGAGGAATATAGGTATAATATTATTATCGATAAAGGTTACTTAACCGTATTTGTTCAGCAAGCATTCATGCACGTCATCATAACCAAGTTATGCCACGCGCCCATTATGAATAGCGATTATGGTCTGGATGTGAAATGTAATTCAAAAACACAATGGCCACCAATAAGTATAAAATTATCATAGCCAAAATGTTGGGTTTGTATAATTGAATAGTTGATAATAACACTTTGCATGTGCACATATTGTCCAAAATGCAATTACGATTGTTATTAAACATTTTTTTTTTTTTTTTTTAGGACGGTTACTACAGATGCTATTTTCGACGGGCCAATTCATTATTATGACTGTTGTCCAGCATAGCGCCAAATCCACCGCCTGTCACGCCTAATAAATGGGCAATAATAATAATAAAATCGCCATAGCTCGTATTATTGTAATATAGTTTAAAATGTGTTGTAATAAATTAGCAAACAACGTTTACACGGTACGATTTTGTTCGACATAAACACTATAAGTGCAAAATATTACCGCAAAGTGTTATACTTAGCTTACGTGAAGGGATTTAAATTTAAAACTGTCTTAGAATGGTGTTTGTAGTTTTTTCAGAGTAACCATGTGAATCGGTTAAGTGATATTAGCTACGTTTACATTAAATTTGGTCAATCATGTATAGTGTATAGTGTATAGTGCATAATGTTATATAGACACATTTCCACCTTTACCGCCGCCTTCCACTAATAAAGCTAAAGTGCTTTTTGTTTACCACCGTCGTTTCATTTGTAAATCACTCACCTTATAGTGTATGTTTAACATATGCATAGTGCCAGGTATATACTGTTTTGATAAGCGTTATGTAAATTTTATTCGAGAAGAGTTATTATAAACATATTTCAATTAACATAAGTATCAATGACAGTCGGAAACAATGCGAATAACGCTTCTCTCTCAAACAAGACATGTGCCAGTTGCGTTTACTGTTAAGGCATTGTACATTCGGAATAAACAGTCAACTTTTATTTGTATTTTTGTTGCCAGCGCTGTAA